CAATAATTTATTTGTCAAACTTCTTTTTGACCCTATAATTTATTTTAATACGCCAGTTATATATTTATACATTTATTTCCAATAATGATAGGTTTGGTCCTCCATACTATGGAGCCTATAATTTATTTTAATACGCCAGTTATATATTTATACATTTATTTCCAATAATGATAGGTTTGGTCCTCCATATGAAAGAACCTTGGAAGAAACAATGACAGTGTTGGTCATCACACTGTTTTTAAATTTTTTTTAAAAATAATGTTTTGTCGTTGATATTGTTTTATGCTGTTGATGATTGTACAGCATGTGAGTTTGTTTCTACGAAAGATGCTTTATAAATACAATTTTACTTACTTACTTACTTACTATCATGTGCAGTATTATCCTGTGGATGGATTCCACCACCAAGTAATGGAAAAAAGCAGGGGACCACCTACCTACAAGGAGCAAAGGTGCAGTTTTCCTGCGACGAGGGCTACACGCGGAAAGGCTCAGCAGAGCGTTACTGCCAGAAGAACGGACAGTGGTCTGGAGAAGAAACAAGCTGCGTGATTTCCAGTATGAAAACCAAAGAAAATCAATAAATATTACAGTTTTGATTTGCATGAATCAGTGGCAACAATCGTGTTTGCATTTGATGTGTGTGTGTGTGTGTGTTGTATGATTCATCAAATCAGCTTTGAACCATGAGCGTCCATACAGTCCACATGTTCAAATAAAAGGTACTTCTTTACTTAAAATTTAAAACAATATGTGGTTTTCATCGACGTCATCATCCGGGACTTTTTTACCCTCTGCACCCCGTTCGTGGGCTACTAATTATCTTGTAGCGATAAAACCAGTATGGGAGAACCACAAAAGCAAAGGAGAAAAAATGCAAAAAGGCCACTGAGCGACGCAGACGAGCATGACCAGAATAATAAGACTTTGAATTTAAAATGTACCTTTCAGGACACCCATGGATCTACTGYATAATAAATCTAAATCAAGGTATTTAGCTTTACTGAAAGTAATGATCCTTACGAGCTGCTGAAGTCTGCAGAGCCGACACGGAGGATGTGTTGACATGACTCTGTGTGACTTTCTCTGATATTGTTAGTAACTATATCTTACATACTCCAAATGTGTACATACTCCTTTTTGTGATTATAATCTGATACTGTCATTGTCGTTTACAAGGGTAGATTGCATTTTTTTAAGAGCGTCTCTCTGCCACACGAGCAGAACGGTTTTGTAACTAACTCGAACATAAACTTGCTCCATAACTGTTAAAACAACTTATAAGAGAAACATACGACATAAACAATCTAGGCTGTATTCATTTCTGTGCTGTAGACTATCCCCTCTTCCGCATTCGCAGCCACGAACATGGCGATTTGATCACGTGATATGCAGGTCGCCACGTCATTTGAAAACCATCTATCAAGAGCCAAGGAAATCAAGATTTCCTAAAATCAGAAATGTCACTAAACTCGAAAGAAAAAACATGGCATTGTTTGTATTTATTTTCATGAGCATCTCATCTGTTTGGTAAATTTATACTTTTAGATCATCTTTGCATTTCTGAAACACACTGTCATACATGCTTCTGCACAGAAAGAAAGGAGGCTGTTAAATGCAGTTAAGTGCAGAAAACTGAAAAAAGGGAAAGAAAAAAAACAAAGCTCCACAGATCTAACCTCAGTGAATCCTGAAAAGCTTCAAATTGTTCCCAGAAATATGTAGAAAGATATTCAACCTCAGCTCAGCTTCATGAGGCCTTGAAAGTGTTGCATGGACGATGAAAAAAAAATCAGATTGACTTTTTTTTTACACAATTATAACAAATAAAATAATTCAAAAGTGTCAAATCAAATCCTAACAAAACATCAACAAGACAAACATTAGAATTTTTGTCCTGAACCATTATTAATTATTGTAAATGGATTATCATTATTTTATTGTTTTGCATCATAAATGTTGAATTAAATGTTGCTGTTTTAAAAAGTCAGCATCAGCAACCATTGGGAATCTGTTTCTGAGACTAGCAGCAGAATATTGATAAATTACAGAGAAGTTTATGTTTTAAAACAAGTTTCAAGAATGAACACAGTAATTTTTGTGTGGAGGGGTGGACACACGGTGGATGAGCTTTTCCTAAAAATCCATTTAATGTGAACACACGGCTTTGACTCCATGAGGAGCCCCCTGTTGAAATCATTTTTTTGTTCTGTTTAAGGTAATATTGCAGGGATCGTTGCTGGTTCAGTCATTGGAGCAGTGGCACTGATTGTAATTATAACAACATTAGTGCTTACCTACAGAAAACAGAAAAGGTAAAGTACAGGAGGATTATTTGATCCAGTTCCTCTGCAATCCTTCAACACATCTGGATGAAACACATTAATAATGTTGTTCAAACTCATTAGACAAATTTTTAACATTTGTTGTTTTGTGTCTGTTTTTGCTTCAGGAAATCTGCAGATTCAGAAGAAGACAGGGAAAGTGACGACTTATAACTTGATTCCTGAAAATATTGCTTTGTCTACACTGAATTTGGTTATAAGATTGAAAAATGACTCAAAAAAATCACAGATCTGATTTTTCCCAAACATTTTATTTGATACTCATTATTTAGAGAGAATTTTTTTTTCTGTGCAGCTCATGTGGATTTTCATTAACTTTTGTCAGATTGTGTTTGTTTCTGCAGAGATATTTCTGCTGACCTGATGTTTGTTCAGTTTGTTTGATTTAGTTTGATTTTTAAAATAAAAACTACTTCCTCTTCTTTCATCCTACCAATGCTGCTTCTTTTGTTATCTACATTTGGTTTATTATCAATCATAAACAATGACAAATGCTAACTGTTGTTATTCGGCAGCAGCAGCTAGTTGTAGCACCTCTGCTGCTTTGAACACTAATGGTCTCCATCTCCATCCATCTTCTTCTGCTTATCCGTCGGTTTGTAGAGGCAACAGGTCCAGGAGAGAAACCCAGACATCCCTCTCCCCGGCGACACTTTCCAGCTCATCCCGGGGGACCCCAAGGTGTTCCCAGGCCAGAGAGGATACATGATCCCTCCAGCGTGTCCTGGGTTTTCCCCGGGGCCTCCTACCAGTGAGATGTGCCCGGAACACTTCTAAAGGGAGGCATCCAGGAGGCTTCCTAATCAGATGAACCACCTCAACTGATTCCTTTTGATGTGGAGGAGCAGTGGCTCTACTCAGAGCTCCCCCCGAATGATGGAGCTCCTCACCTTATTTCTAAGGCTTAGCCCGGACACACGAAGAAAGCTCATTTTGGCCACTTGTTTCCAGGATCTCGTTCTTTCAGTCATGATCCAGGTGCCTTTTGACTCAGCTCCTTTTTTAACCTCGACCGACCGAAGCAACGTCCTCATTGCTGAGGATGAGGCTCCATCTCCTGCTCCATCCTACCATCACTCGTGAACAAGACATCCAGAAACTTAAACTCCTCCACTTGAGGCAGAGACTCTCCCCCAATCCTGAGGGGGCATTACCTTTTTCTGGTGAAGAGCCATGGCCTCAGACTTAGAGAACCTGGCTTTCATCCCAACCGCTTCACACTCGGCTGTGAACCGCCCCTGTGCACGCAAAAATAATCTTAGTCCAAAGACACCAACAGAACCACATCATCTGCGTACAGCAGAGATGAGACCTGTGGTTCCCAAACCAGACATCCTCCTCTCCATGACTGCGCCTTGAGGCACAATGCATTCTGAGACCCTGTCCATGAACACTAAAAACAGGACACTAACCGTGTAATGCTAAACTGATGTAAAGGTGTAAAAAAGAAGCATTTGCGTGGAAATGTTCGTGAATTAAACAATCCCCTTTGGTCTTGAACTGGATGAAAATTTTATCCAAACTAACATTTTATTTATTCTGCTCAACTCCATTTCAAAAGATCTGAACTGTCTCTTTAATTTATTTAAGCTGAGTAAAAGGAATCTGAATATTTTTGGAGGAACAATTTTAGTTAAATAATTATAGGAAAAAAACATGGAAAAAACAAAATGTATTTACAACTATAAAAAGCTGAATGAAAAATACAAGACAATTTTTTTCTTGTTCTCTAAAAATGCACATAATCTCTCATAGTTTTACAGTTAGTTTACGTCTTTTATATAATTAGCATAAAAAGTAAGAAAATTTGTGTTTGGTAGATTATTTATTGCAACAATGCTTCTTGGCAATAAACCTTATTGTTGGAAAGCTTGTTAATTTATATTTTAAATGGTGCCACATTTGTAAGGAACATGCATTTGTGGGATGAGCAGCCAAAACAGCTTGTTTTCCTGCTGCTATTAATACTTGATTTGAGCTTCTGGTGCAGCCAATCAGGTGCCTGGTATAACATTTATTGCCATGAAGCATTTTTACAACAAAAACATAATCTACCAAACACAAATGCACTTATTATTTGCGCTATTTGCTTCTTTGACACACAATATATGGTTATTTGACTACATTTTTTAGCACAGCTGAGAAGAGCTGAAATATTTCCTCATTATTAAATACCATTCCTCTCTGAAGGCACACAGATGCACCCCTCGGATGCTCGGTTCAATATTTGCACGACTTGTCAACACAAAGATGCAGCTGTGAGATTCCTCACTGGCCCTCGAACGCACCAACAGTTCCATCCATCACTTTCCTCTGGCTGTAAACACAACTTTATGATTGTTTTGAATTTTGCTCAACTTGCTCTCCGTGAGATTCTCCGTTTGTTTTTTCTTTTACAGAGTGAAAGCTTTTGTTTACTGTGTGACTTTAAATGGCCGTTGCTGTTCCCGCAAAATAACAACTTGTGCACACAAAGACCTCCAGTATGTGAGGAGACTACAGAGGCCAGAGCAGAAAAAACTGGCTGCTTCCAGCTTCCAGAGTCACTCACCAAAAAACAAATCCTTCCAGAGGCGGACAAGAGATGTAAATAAAAAATAGTGAGCTTTGTCCTCTGCATGTCCCGGGGCAACAGAGGAGTAACACCCCGGATCATCATAAATCATACTGCTCCTGTTGCTTACATCACACTTTCTGCTCTGCAAGTGTTAGAATGAATCAGCAGCGTATATAAAGCTTGTGATCAGACTGTCACAGTTCTCCTCCTCCTCCTCACTTCTTGTTACATGTGAGCAATAAATACAGCAGCTGGGTTCTTCAGCGTTCTGGTCCTGTCAGGGTGGAGCTACAGGCTCTCCTCTTGAAACGTCTCCCTCCTGCAGCCCGAGCTCAGTTGTTTTGAAGGCATGGACGAAGAAAACAAAATGCTGTCTCGTCCCATCTTCCGTCGAGACGTGAGCTGGGACCCCTTCCCCAACTGGACTCAGCCGAGCCGCATCTTTGCACAGGATTTTGGGCTCCCTCCTTTCCTGGAACCAAGTGATCTGGACTGGCTGGACTGGGCGAAGAAGAGGCTGGCATCTTTCTCCTGGCCTGGGTTCACTCAGTTGCCCCTTCTGCCTCCGTTCATCGGGGACCCGAAAGATTTGAGACAGCTGATGAGGGGGGTGTCAGAGGTGCAAGCAGGGCAGAACAGCTGGAGGGTCAACCTGGACGTTAATCACTTTTCACCAGAGGAAATCACAATTACAACTAAGGAGGGTTATCTGCAGATCTCAGGTAGCGACTGAAAGGTAGAAGACAGAAGCTGCGTCTTCTGCTTTTTGTGAGTTTTACATGCTTTTCTGTGGCTGTTTTTAAGGAAAACATGAAGAGAAGCAGGACGTGCATGGATCTGTTTCAAGATGCTTCACTCGTAAATACAAGTACGCTGTTTTGAGATTACGACAATATTTCAAATTGTTTCCTGTAGCAAAAATATTGTAGGTTTTAGCAGCAGATACACAAGTGGTGTGTTGGAATATTTTCTTAGGTGTCCTAAATGAAACACTCCTGCATGTTACTGACAAACCTTCTTCACTTTTTAAAGGCTGCCACAGGGGGTGGATCCGGAGCAGATCAGCTCCTCCCTGTCAGGAGGAGTCCTGTCAGTCAAGGCCCCGGTTCCTGCGACGTCCATCAGCAACCCGAGTGACGAGATCGTCGTACCGGTTCAGATCAAACAGACACAAGATGGCGAGAAGTGAGCAAAGAGGGCAGAAAACAACAGCCCAAGCTGAGGACTGACATAGAAAAGAAACATTAATCGGAGCTCCAAGTGTAAAATAAAAATGTTTAAAAAATATCACTAACACCTTTTTTTATATTTGGTTCTCATTTTGAGTGTCAAATCCTAATCCCACTAACATTTTACTGTTTTATAGCTCACCGTTGCTAATTTTTACTAAATGTAAAATTTAAATGTTATATGAATGTTATAATTGTTAAATTCTAAATCAAAATATATAAATCTTAAAGTTAAATCTTAATTGTTGTGGTTAAATGTTGAAGTTTACATTAAAGTATTTCAGAATGCAACACAGCTTTTTCCGTTGGTACTCGACTCTTGTAGACATCATCATCCTGAGACAAAAGCAAATGCTAACGCCGCTAACATGCTAAATGCTGCTGAAGATGCCACTTAAAGATTTAATTTATGCAAGAAAACAAATAATTGTATAGTTTTCATCAAAACAGTGCACTCTGTAATGATCAAGAATCATCTTCTATACTAATCTCATATAACCAAATGTATTTAAAGGATTCTGAGATGTATATTTAAAAATAAAACAATATTTTAATGAACTGTTCTTCATTTTAAATGCACGTATTTCTCTGCAGATTAAAATATTAATACTGAGCATGTATTATGGTTTTGTTGGTAACTTGCATGTTTATCAAAAGGAGATCAACTTGAAGACAATCAGTTCAAACGTGTTTAGATGTCATTTACATGCCCCAAAACTAAACAGAGAGATAGTACAATAATATCTCAAGGTTAACTTGTATTTATGAACAAAAGGCTTTGATAATTAAAAGCTGTCAAATTGCAAATAAAAGACAAAAAGAGAGAAAAGCAACAATCTCAATATCTTTCAGAAGATCAACAGTGACATCTAGTGTTAAAACTGAACATTGCATAACAAAAATAAAGAAAAGACAGCAAAACACTCATTTACCCCATTTATTCTACAAGAAGACAATAATTTAACGAAGCACCACTTTCAGCGACAAATTTAACAATAAGCTCAACCAGTTAACCAGTTCCAGTTAAATTGTTCTAAAATACATAAAAAGAATCACACACAAACTTAAAAAAGCAACAGTGAGAACTTTTCTTACATTATTTACATCCAGAAGTTTCTATGAGCCAAACATTTCAACCAGGTGTACTACAGAGTCACTCACTGGAGGTTTTATAGGTCAAACATAGATAGATTTTCTGAAAGAGACCAAATACACTTTGTTATGAAAAAGTACAGATTAACTGAGATTTTCATGATAAATGGTTTGACTGAGCTGCTTATTATAAAAGTTATTTGCCTCACAAATGCTCCCTGGACAGGACAAAGTGGAGATGCCATAAATTCAAAATAAATAAATAAATAAACATATAAATAAAGAAATAAAACTTTCAGTAAAATATTGGGGGAAAAGATGTAATTTAAAAAGTTGTGTTGATTGTTTGGATCTCGTGTTGGCGCTTATGCTTTTTTTAGTGCCAAGTGCAGAGTTTTTAGCTAGAGTTAGTTTTTAAGTGATCACAGACTAATTGTAATAATGCTAGTAACTTTACCAGGAAGTAAATGTGTCTGTGCTTGCAAGTGCTCCAGTATAACATATTTATAAATTTTTTTCCATCTAGTGGTCGTTGACAGCTGGTGCAAGAAAAATATGACGAACACAATGAAAACACTCAAGTTCCTCTTTGAATCTTTGTGTCTACGATTAATCTCAGGCGTTTTAGAGGTAAAAGCCAGATCTTTTGAAGAGGGGTTCTGACAAGTATCTTACCTGTCGTAGATGGCTCTTTGAACAATCTGTTATGAGAACAAGTTTAGTATTTTTTAAACCTGGGGCTAAAACATGTGGAGTCAATACCAAAGGGGATTTGAAACAACTCCGGCCTCAAACATGTCACAGCAATTTAGATAAATGCTATTTTACAAACCTGTACACGGCTGTCAATTTATTACACACCTATTCCAACATAACTATTATAGTATTCTTGCAAGTGCCTCTAGCTGCATTTTAGGCGTTACAGCTAGAACCATATAGATTTCCATATAAATGATCACGTAACGCAAACTTTACTGAGGTTTTCGAATCAGACAGGAGGAGTTTTAACAATCCTGGTTTTGGTCCTACTCAAACAGGCCATTAGCTCGTTGATCTGATGAGATTCAAACTGTGTTTCTCAAAAAGGATGTTGTGAAATAAGCTATCTACAACAGGTAAGATATTGTTTCTGTAAATGCACCATTCACAGACACACACATTGGTATTTTCTCCCATTTTGTTGCCTTTTTTTTGTAAAAAAAATAGTTTTTTTTTACATTTTGTATCAGCTTATGTGAATACAGCAGTGTTAATGATGGCTAGAATGATACAAAAAAAAAAAAAGATCCCTTGTGAAATTACCTCAGCCTTTCTGAGATGCGCCTGTAGTGTTGTGGTGTCTCTTTAAAGGAAGGGGGAGTGTAGGAAAAAGGGACAGAGGCAACTCGAGATGAATAGAAGGCACCAGAACCACCTACCATGACCAAGTGCGCTGTAAATGTAGGACAGAGATTCGAGTGGAGTACAAACGGATCTTCGGGCGACAGATTGGAGGGAGAACCATGTTTGGATGTGCCTCATCTGAGTCAAGGGTTTTTCACTATGGTGTCACGGTCGATCATCGCAGGGACGCAGGGAAACTGGTTTTCCTCCCAAATGTTTCCTGCGTTTTGCAACGGGAAAGGAGAGTGGCAGTAAAATACACCTCAGCGGCATCTTTCTGATTATCAATGGTAGCGTTGCATAATTCAGCCTCATCCATCGCAGCTGTTTGAAGAAGAAGAAAAAAAGGGAGGAAAGACGCCAGAGGACTGACTCCATCCAGCGGCTGCCTCCTCGGCGGTGCCTACAATTGTTCGGCGATGCCCTTTCCTCTCTCAGGAAGGACTTGCACACAGTAGCGGAGGGAAAGCGGCTCGTGTGTGCGCGCGTGTGTGTGTGGGGGGGAGGATGCGCCTGACGCTGGACGTGTGCTGCATTCAGGGAGATTCGGCACCGACGGGAGCTCCAGCACCAGCGGCGGGCCTGGGAAGCACCCAGCTCCACTGTCTCCTCCTTTTCCTCCCCCCCTGCAGGACCATGCTTGCGTGAGGGATGAGGCTGTGCACAGGGACGCCAGGCCAGAGCTGCGGCCTACACCTGACAAGAGCCGGTCCCCCGACTGCAAGAAGACCCGCGGACACACTATCACCATCACATCAGCATCTTTGGTACACACGCGCGCGACTCACGAGCTTCTCGTGTTGCATGGAGGAAAAAAAAAAAAAGAAAAAGGAAAAAAAAAGAGAAAAAATATAGTAGTGCGCGTGTGGGGGCGCGTGCGCGTCCGTGCACGTGCTGCTGGGTACGCGGGGATGAGGGCGGGAGGAGGGAGGAGGTGTCTGTGTTCTCAGCTGTACATCTGTAGTCATGGCAACCAGATCCTGTTAATGGATGTCACTTTTTTCCATCCTCAGCTCCTCGCTTTGCTTCCGCTTGTCTTTCTTTTTTTTCTTTGTGTAATATGTGTTTGTATCTGTGCGTGCATGATGTGTTTTATTTTTATTAAAGCATATAAAGGGTGATTTTTTTCTTCACATTTTTTGTGGCGTTTTTTTGTGTGTCCACACACTAGAAACTGCTGGGTTATTTTGACAACTTGATTGTTGGCTTAAAGCTTTTGAGTCATAGGTTGTGTTAGTTTGATCAAATGTGTCCCAATGATTGGGTCCGATAGGAACTGTGTCATTTCTCACAGTCTTTGTTGTTGACTAAACTGGACCTGACTGGACCGCAGGTTGATGCCATAAAAAGTGAGGTGAAGATGATAAATTGTAGAGATATCTTTAACCCGATTGGCTTTGTTGAAAATTTTAGTTTAGACGCTAAATTTGCTTTCCTAAAATTACACTGCTCTGCATCTAATAAAGTCTTAAAATCTTGGATCCTTGTTTTGAGACTGATATACTAAACAAGTGCAAAATGTGTTAGATCATTAATATTGTTAACCTGGAATTTTTTTTTCTTATTTCAAGAAGTCTTACCAAGTGCAATTGTCTTACTGCACTGGCAGATTATTTCACTTAATTTGAGAAGATTCAGACTATAATCTAGTAATGTGTTGCACTGTGGTAGGTGCTAGCTAGGGCTGCACGGTGGCTTAGCTGGTGCAGCTGTTGCCTCTCAGCAAGAAAGTTGCAGGATTGAATACAGACCAGGGACCTTTCTGGGTAGAGTTTGCATGTTCTCGGTTCTCTCCTTGCATGTTTGGGTTTTCTTCAGATACCCCGGTTTCATCATACAGACTAAATACATGACTGTTAGGCTAATTGGTAACTCTAAACTGAATGGTTAGTCTCGTTTGTGTCCCTGTGATGGACTTGCAACCTGTCCCCCCTTCACACAGTGGCTGCTGGATATGGGCATCAGTGACGCTGAAAGGAAAAAGTGGGTAAAGATGATGCCAGGGCTGGGTCACAAACAGGAATTTATTTAACCCAGCAGTTTTTTTGTGTGTCAAAGTTTGTTTGATTAGAATCAGGAACATGATCATGATTAAACGCGTTTGTTTTGGCATTTATGTGGCTTTGGGTGAAAATTAAAAAAAAGTTAGTTGTTATTATGTATTTTTAGTTTGCAAGTTTTCCTTGACTTTGTATAGTAGGTCTGCATGATATTAGGAAAATATGCAATTGGAATATTATTGTTGAATTTTGCAGCATCCGGTGCGACAAACTCACATTTTCATCACTCTCTTCTTAGCGTCACACTTTAAGCAGCATTTTTAACATCGTTTCAGTGATGTTATTCTAAACCAGCTGCGTGCATTAGTGCAGAAATATGTTACTGGCATCTAGTTTGGGAATACTTACTTTGGGGATATTGATAATGCACGATATTGTGTAAGCTATTTTTTTTTACTTTTGCCAGTGAAAGTCAGCTTTCATGTTCTGCTTTATTTTATGTTTTTGTTTAGGGCATCAGGTAGATCCAGGAGCATGAGCAGGACTTTGAGCTGCGGGAGCAGATGTCTGGGTATAAGCGCATGCGGCGACAGCACCAGAAGCAGCTGATCGCCCTGGAGAACAGGCTAAAGGCCGAGATGGATGAGCACAGGCTCAGGCTGCAGAAGGAATTAGAAACACAAGCAAATAACACTTACATTGAGCTGGAACGACTGGCCAAACGTCATGTTGCTCAAACAGATAAAGAGGTAGCTGGTCATAAAGGAGTGACTGAAGCCGTGTTGTGTGTTTTGCAGAGGAATGTTAAATGTGGTAATCTCCATGTCTCTTCACAGATGAAGTCAGTTGCATCTGAGGAAAGACGGATTCAGCAACAAATTGTTGCTCAACAAAAGAAAGAACTGAGCTCCTTTTTAGAGAATCAGAAGAAGGAGTACAGGCTTTGCAAAGACAAGATCAAAGATGTAAATACTTTTTTCTAAATATATATATATTTTGTGAAGTTATTTTCTGCACGTCTTCAAGCCGTACAACCATCTGTTGTGTTCCAGGAGATGACTGAAGACCTTTGTTCGACCAAGGAAGAGAAGCAGGAGCGTCTGTCTCGGTACAAAGAAACGATGCAGCGCTCCCAGGCCGAGGAGGAAGCTCACCTGCTGGCCCAGCAGAGGCTGGTCTACGACCGCAGCTGCCGGGCCCTCAAACGTCGAAGTCTGCTCCGGCGGCACGAGTTCGAACAGGAACAGCTGAGAGAGGTAATCGGATTTCCTGACATTCCAAAAAAAACCAGACAGGTGTGGGCCAGTTCTGGCACTGTTCAAGATGGCATTCCAAAACTGGCCTGGTTTAGTTTATGTGGCGCTGGTCCCATGCACAGACCACCTCTGGCAAACCACATCAGGGCCACCAAAGGGCCGTCGTTACTTAATTTAAGAATATTAGCGCCTTGTATGGACCAGAACTGGGCCAGACATATTTTACTATGTGGGATTATGCAAGATGATGTGAGACAAATTGCTAAAATTCAAACCTCAAAGACCAAATTGTGGCTGATAAGCCTTGTTTTTGCAGTTTACAGTTTTGAAATACTTACTTTCCTACAAGATTAAGATTTAATTCCAGCTCTAAGAGGTCACAAGCCACCAAAAATGGTCCGAGGAAGGAAAACCGGTAAACTATTTTGAGGGTCATGCCGGGTCTAAGTATTTGCAGGAAGCAAAGTGTTGTTTGAGTGTATTGAGGAGCTGTTGTAGCTTCACCTGTCAGGATACCTTGCATCTCAGTTTGCTGTGTATAGGACTACATATAACCATAGATTTGTCATGGGGCTGATTTTAGTTCATTACCAAAAGGGCCAACAAGACATTTTACTTGCACTTCACTTGCAAGTTGCACAAGTTTTCAGTGAAATAAAAAAAAAAACCATGCAAACATGACAAAAACAAAGTAACACCCTCGCTCTTCTTGTGCCAGGAGCTGAACAAAAAGAGAACCCAGAAGGAGATGGAGCATGCCCTGATGATCCGGCAGGACGAGTCCACCCAGGACCTGGAGCACCGGCAGCTGCAGATGCTGCAGAAGCTGCGAGTGGAACTCATGCGGCTGCAGCACCAGACAGAGTTCGAGAACCAGGAGGAGTATAACAGCCGGCGGCAAACAGAGCTACAAAGAAAACACAGTCTGGAGCAGCGGCAGCAGCCCAGAAACCTCAAGGTGTTTACAGCCTTTTCTTGGGTTCTGCATCCTGCTGGAAGGGGTTATGCAGGTTTTCTAATGACATGTTTTAAAACTTTAAATCGACGTTGTTCCTTCTTTTAATCTGCCTTTTATTTACGTATGATTTGACAAGAATGCACTTTACATTCAAATTTATTTGTGATGTCCAAATAAATATTTGTAAAGAAAGAAAAAAAGAAAGACGCTGATCTTGTTGCCATGAGAACTGCGTCCTCCAAAACATGTGCCAGCTTCACAAATGTAAATAATTTCTGCTTCAATTATATAACATTATTGTTGTGAGGAGCTCACTTGCATGAATTGAAACACTCAAGAGCATGGCAACAAAATTCAGTTTTTTTATCCAAAGAACCCGTTCAGCCGGTTGAGATGTTATCAGTCCATTAAATGGACGTTATTAGTTTTAGTTTTATTAGTTTTTCATTACTTTTAACACATAATTTTATAAGTATAACAGTATTTTTAATTGTTCAAACGTAGCTGGGTGATTTTTAAAACATATTTCTGTGGTTTGACAACCTCAGAAGACACATTTATTTTTACTTTACACGGTCTTTAACCTTAGTGGCTTTATGCCTCATATTAACCAGATTGCATGAAAAACCTTAGTGGCTTTATGCCTCTGAAGCCATTCTATGGGAGGGAGAACCCACTAGGCGGCACAGTTGGGACAGTCTGAAACCATTCTATGGGACTAATAATGGCTAATAAAGTCCATTTAATGGATGATAACATCCGAAGCGGGTGCACCAGTTGAATTTAGGTTTTGGCTAGGTTAGGGTTAGGCTAGGGGTAGGGTTAGGGTTATGTTAGGTGTTAAGGTTAGGCTTTGACAGCATTTAATTTTCATCTTTCGCTGAGCTCAAAGTTAAGATTGAATTTTGACCAACTTTTAATCTGTGTCGTGTGTATTGCCCATGCTGGAGCAGATGCTGGAGATGCAGATCAAGAAACAGTTCCAGGATACGTGTAAGGTGCAGAACAAGCAGTACAAGGCTCTTAGGAACCATCAGCTGGAAGTGTCTCCCAAAGGGGACCATAAAACTATCCTGAAGAACCTGAAAGAGGAGCAGACACGTAAGCTGGCTGTTCTGGCTGAGCAGTATGAACAAAGCATCAACGAAATGATGGCTTCACAAGCGGTAGGAAGGAGTTTCAGGTCACTCTACAATCAATGGTTCACAATATCAGTTGTTAAATACCTACAACACCAGCATCTTCACTATTTCTTTTTTTTTCCCTTCTTCTCCAGATGAGATTAGAAGCAGAGCAGGAAAGCGAGTGCCAAGCTCTGAAGCAGCAGCTGAAGCAGGAGATGGAGCTCCTGGACGCCTACCAGAAAAAAACCCAGTCACAGATGGAGGCCCAACATGAGCGAGAGCAGCAGAAACTTGAGCAGAAGGTTTCCATACGGAGAGCACACCTTGAACAGAAGGTATGTTTAAAAATCAAAGCAGTGCTGAAATGCTTCCTAAAATTACCTCAAATGGCACCAAGAGTCCAGGAAGGTGTTTCATTAGCTCATAACATTATTATAGCAGCACTTTTTTTTGGTAGATCTTCCCAGAAACAGATTCTTATACTTTCACCCTGATATGTAACACAAAAACTTGGATTCACTTCTCTGAGAGTAGTCCTGGACCCACAACCTGTTCACTGCTGCGCATGTGGCTGGGTACAATACAACAGTACAGCTCCTCTTCAACAGTAGAAGTTTACAGAGAAAGAAAGACGTGCAAAAGTCTAATTTAAATTTTCTATCAATATTTGTATAAAAAGACAACAATTTTACGTATTATGTAATATTTCTTATTCACATTCAGAAGAACAACAAGGAACACCCAGGACATGGAGTTACTCGTGCTTAGAGCAAAAGAAGACTTGTTGATGAGGCGAGCCTTGAAGTGACTGTAGCACCATCAGTGACAGCATTAATGATTCTTTCCTGACATCAAAGTGTTTACTATTCAGTAGCAACTTTAGAACTGCAAATATTAAGAAAAAAAATGTACCACCTGGATAAAAATGTGTGAAACAATCGTGTTTAAAGTATTTTGGTACCACTTTACAATAAGGCTCTCCTTGTAGATGGCTTATAATATGTGTTTCTAATAAATTATTGTGCTTACAAGGTAGTAAACTAGTCTGAAATGTTTAATATAAGTGGTAAATGGACAGTACTTTTTAGTATCTTTCTACCCAACCAGGATACTCAAAACACTTTACAGTACAATCTGTGTCCTCATTTACCCATCGACACAGCACTCTACTACTCTACAAAGCTAACATGTACAGAATTATTCTATGGAGACTAATCAGTGCTTTAAATCACATTCATACACTGATGGGACACACATAGGCATTGGAGGTGAAGTGTCTTGCCCAAGGACACAACAAATGAGACAGCTGGGACGGGGGATCGAACTGGCAACCTACCGGTTCCAGGACGACTCCCACTCTGCCACAGTCTCCCTTTAAAGCACTTTAGATGTAATATGTACATGAACAGATTTGGCTCACTATTTGGCAAGAAACCAGACAGTTTTGTCTCTTTCTTGTCCTTATTTAATGCATAATAATCACTTATTAGTGTTTTAAAAAGTGTTTACAGCTGAATTATTAACCTATCTATATTTTTAAGGGAAGCCTTATTTTAAAGTGGTACCAGCATACTGTTTATGTATTAGAGCCATAAATGAGGATTATATAGGTTTATTTTTTTGTATGAACTTTTTTGTCTTTAATTTTTGTAATCAACACCAAGTAAGGTAAACACAAGCTTAAGTTAATGTTATTGTGAAAATTTGGACTTTATTTTGAAAGTGTTGCTTCCTGTAAAACCTTGATCTGAGTGAAAAGGCCTGAGAAAGAAGCCTTTAGCCATTAGCCTTGTATATTAAAAATGATATGGCAAATATGTAGAAGAAGAAGGTTGGTAGAGCTGTTGCCTTTTAGCAAGAAGGTTGCCGGATCGAAACCAGGCTAGGGACTTTTCTGGGTAGAGTTTGCGTGTTCTCTCCATGCATGTGTGGGTTTTCTCTGGGTTCTCCAGTTGAGAGGGTGAATGGTTATGATGGACTTGCAGCCTGCCCAGGGTGTACCCCATCCCTCACACAGTGACTGCTGGATATGGGCACCTGAGACCCCTGTGACCCTGTAAGGAAGAAGCGGGTTATGGATATATTTTGCTTGTTGACTGTTTTTTTATGACACTTTATCAGATAAAGGATTTTTTGTTAAATTCCCAGTTTTGCATGTGTTGTTTTAATGTGGCATCATTTTAGTTTGTAGGATGAAGAAATACAGTATTTTTTCTATTTGATCAGCTTAAACAGGTAATATCTGGTTGGTTTAAAAGCAACTTTAATTAGCACTTTTGTTTGTTTGTTTTAGCATAGGAGAACTGTTGACAGACTAAATTGGTCAAAAGGTGAGGCTCAGAAACTCACAAGTTCCATTCCTTGCCATGGTATCCACGAGCAAGACACTAATCCCTACTTGCTCCCCGGGTTTATCTCCCCTGTGATGAGTCAAATGCAGAACACCAATTTCCATATTTAGTATTAAATTTTACTGACCTCAGCAAACATTTATTTTTACATTCAGTACACACTTGGGTCACGTCAAAAAAAATTCTGATAATGTGACATTTCTGACATTTCAGTTTCACTGATCAAAACAGACGCTAAAATTAGCCCTAACATATAACTAAATAACAGTCATGGTGTTTGCTGATTGCAGATTGAAGAGGAGCTGGCTGCCCTCCAGAAGGAGCGGACTGAAAAGATAAAGCACTTGTTGGAACGTCAGGACCGAGAAATGAGCACTTTTGACTCAGAGAGCAGAAGCCTCGGTTTCGGAAGCCTTGGATCTCTGGACTTCCCCAAAGAAGACAACAGATGAAAGTGGATCTATCTTTTTAATAGACAACATATCCGTGCCCTTCTCATATCCTTGTGTGTGTGGATGGGGGAGTTTGTCACATCCGCCGCTGCGGTGACAAAACCTGGACAACCTTCTCTGCTATTTTTCTTCTCTCTTAGATCTTCTAATTGAGGTGTTCTTACGTGCAATGAGAGAAACTTGATACAGGGAGGGAGAAACGGAAGAATCGTGTCAATAAAAAGGCAGTGTTTGGACACTTTTCCTCCATGCCATTTCCTCTTTTTGGTATGAAACAAATAAATCAGGAAATTTTAGTAAAAATGGGCACTTTGATATGTTTAAATAGAAATCCATCATGTTCATATGGTTCTAAAAAGTGTGTGTTACATGGAGGGACATTGTGGAATGTGAACTGCGGACTCCCCCGTAGTGTTAAGCTGCTTTGTTTGATTTATTCTTTTTTAATTCATTGAAGTTTTGTTGTATTTATTTTAATCTCTGAATGTGAAAATTACTGTATGGGGGATCATTGGGGTTTATTTTTAGTTTATTTTCAATCATACTTCCATGTTGTGCTTATGCATACAGTATATTGTGGTCCCTCACTTTTTTCTAGGCAACAGATTCTCTCTTTTTTTAAATTTATTTGATATGTAGAACTAATTGGCATTAGCTTGACCAACCTGTTTATCCTCTCACAAGTCAAGATCCCACTTGGTAAAACTGCTTATTATTGCATGCACTTTAAGGACAAATTCAGGTTGTGAAGTGAAGCATGAATCTGTCAGAGATTTTAGCTGTTTGTAAATAAGTGGTCATAGCAAGGTTTTTTTTGTTCAATTTTTATTTTAAGCCTACTGGACATAAACAACGTGTTTGACATGATTTTTTATTTTTATTTACTTATTTTCACAAATGCCTTTATTTAAGTTGTGCCTGAAGCAGATTTCAGTTTTTGTGTTTGTTACTATTATATCTATATTTTACTGATTTAGGCCAGCACCATTTTGTTTGTCTGAACTTGTGAATCATTTAATGTTCACTAATCTTGTAAAAGGAAAAATGGTGAGAATTGTGCTGTATAATTTTTGATATGAATATTTGTACATGAGAAACATAGCTAGAAATATACAGAGACACAGGTCTATTACTGATATAGCTTAAAGAGAAAAAAAGTTTTGCTTCTTTTTTATAATATTGAGAAATGGTCATACAGTAGTTCAATATATTGCTAAGTCAAAACAAAAGACTTTCAGATTGTATAAATGCTGGTGAATGGAATCACACACTTCTTACAATATCCGTGTGAGGGTCTGGAACCGACGTGGGTCTTTGGGTTAATTGAGTATTTTTTGTGTTTGAGGACAAGATTTGAGATATTTTTCACCGTGTTCATTAGGTTCATTGAACAGGTTGCACAATTATTCCATTCGCAGTGAATGGAAAAGGAAATTTTTTGGTGCTTAAGTTCTAAATAAAACCACCTTTAGCCTTGTAGTTTTTGTCTTAGAGAACGATTGAGTTTCACAAAATGCTCGCATTTTGCTACCTTCCCTCTGAGTCAAAACACTATTAATGACCCCTGACCTATTTGGAGCACCCCAGGCAGTGAATCACCCTAAAAAATAGACAATTGGGTAAATCCATTTGATCATTTTTGAAATGTTTAAAGTCTTGAATGCAACCCTGTTTTGTTCAACAGGCATCTCTATCTTCTTGTCGTTTTACTTTTTCAAATGCTTATATTGGGTCTAATTCCTCACAGGGGCTGAAATTACAAAGTATTTCAAAAAAAGAGGACTCTAATAATAACCAGTTTCTGATGGCAATAGAACCTAAATGCTCTTGTTTTACAAGCTGACAGCTAAATGCAGTCGGACCAGATGAGTTCTGAACTTTCATTTGGTTTCTCAGACTTTTCCACTTTCATGAACTTTCTGAAATCTGATCAAAACGTTTCTCATATGCAGTAAGGAAAGGGCATTTTGTCCAGTCACATCTTACTGAAGCTTTGTGGACCAATGGTTGCAGTGAAAAAAAAAGTGCTGTTGGGGTGCTTGTTTGCCTGAGAGCTTCAGAACAACAAGGAACCTTACAATTTGTGTAAATTTTAGGTTACTAGAAAGATGTATTTAGTTAGAATATAAAGGGGACTTTCCTAAAGAATTTTATTCACCATTTCCTGTGCAGTTCGAAGACAAAATAAAAAAGATTTTGTTGAAAAAAAAAGAGAGTCTCATTTAACATCCTGCCTCCTGTGACAGTGCAGTTCTTTGTACATGTGGTTGAATTTCCTTGCAGTGCCCTTTTATGTGGCATACAACTTCACACATTTTCTTTTTCTTTGGTGGGAAACGCCACTGCGACCTACATTGTGTGATTTTATTTTTTTTTAGTTTTCTATAACTCAAAATGTGGGGTCGGACAGAAGTAAGATAACTGTACCTGAAATGGGAATGGAAGGTGAGAGGGAGCTGGAGCTGCGAGGGACTTGCTTATTTTGACGTGTCGATTGTGGTGTCTGCACTGTGTGTTGCTGGCAGGAATCCTACCGTAGTTTCCTTGAACTGTCAACATCTGCAGCAGTTACCTGTCTCACCACAACCCTACTTTTTCCCTGTACGGGGCACCTGGAAAGCCCCCAGGCTGGCAGAGGGGTATTCAGCCTTCACCTGAAGCAGTGCCCAAGGCGGGGTTGTGGTGCATTGAGTCCCCCCACCCCCCATCTTTTCTCAGTTACTCAGTGGTTTGACATCAAGACAGTGTTAGCTGTTTTGAAAACAAGATGCAAATATCACTATAAAAACCTAGAGGTCACGTCAGATCACAACAATTCCTTTCACTTTCAGCGAAAAGTGAACCTGCCATTTCCAGTCATAGCAAAAACTGAACATGTGATTCAGACTCGTGAGACATCAAAAACACAAAAAGGCTATGACCTGGTTAATTTATAGCCAGGAGCTCCCAAGCTTTTTTCCCACAAGAGGGTAGGAAAATCTATCGGAGGGCTGTGAGCCAAATGTGATACACAAAAATGCAAATATTTTTCAAGTTTAGTTCTTTAATTTTTTAATGATTAAGCTAGCAACCAGTACAGTCCTCACATTTTTTTTATTTGTTTGTGTAAATAGACTTTTTTGCAATGGGTGTCTAAAGTGCTTTTTAGAGGGACACAAACAAAGAAAAGCACTCAGGATTTGAAAATTCAAGATGGCCACCACAGCTAATTCCAAATCGCTTTAATTCAGCTGTGAAATGTTAAGCGGAAATTTTGTGACCATAGCTGAGAATGATCCAAAAATTATTCTAAATTAACTTATTTTTCAGCCATTTTTAGACGTACAAAGCTGATGATTAGTGTAGAAGTCACCGAAAACTACCTTCACCAAACCCTAAATGCTAATCAGTAATTCAAGATGGCCACCACAGCTAAGTTTAAAAGGCTATCCTTCAACCATTTTAAGTCTTACTGAGATGCAATTTGTTGTGAATTAGCTAAGAATGATCGCATGCTGATTACCAATGAAAAAAAAGTGTGCAAATATTGGTGGGGACTGTCCCTGTCAGACCAAAGTTGGTGGGTATGTGTCCATGCCAGTCCTTTAGAAAGTTATGCTTATGACTGGAGGTAAAATCTTGATTGTGGTATAGAATGGCTGTAATTATATGAATAAATTCATTTTGCAGGCATTCCATTTTAGGATGGCCACCAAGACAATGGCTGAAACTCAGCCATTTTAGAGATGTCAACCTAAATTTTATGTGATAGTTGGTATGATAGTAACTGTCAGCTCTGGCTGTCTGTTAGCAAAATATCTCTTCAACCAATGCAAAGACTTTTGGGAATTTCCCAGGAGTTAATCACTTCCTGTACCTCTACAACACATTGGCTGTGTCTCAATTCATGGGCTGCATCCTCATGAGTATGTAGCCCACAAGGGCCACATGGGCCACATCCTTCCCAGTCCGGGTAGGCTGCATAAAACTGCTTTGAAATGAAACGGTCTAGTCTTCGCTTGACGTATGTTTATGTTACCAAGCGCTACCGTGTTACCATAGTGGTTTTATATCATGCGCCTTCATACTTAAAATGTGTTGGGATGTGTATTCACATGTCTTTTCACTGGAAGATTTTCACAATAAAAATGCCACACGTTAATAAATAAATAAATAAATAAATAAATAAATAAATAAATAAATAAATAAATAAACAGGGTAATAATTTAGCTCCAGTATCAGTACTTGTAGTTGCATTTTATTTAACTTCTTATTGCAGCATGAAGTTCATCAGCTAAGTTGCTAAACTTACATTTAAAAACAAATTTTTTGATCCGTGATGAATTTCCAAACTCTGCACTGTCTTTCTGTTTGCTGTCGGTGCATTGAATCCTGGGATATCCTCGGCTGGGAAGGATAATTGGGGGAATTCTTGATTTTCAAGACTCTGTGGACCCCACTCCTTGGCTGCATGATGAGGAGCCTTCGAATTGGGACAACACTCGGCGCGGGACAGTGATAAATGCTCCCTCATAGGATGCAGCCCATGAAATGAGACAGACATTTTAAGTTAACAACTTGAGTGATATGAATTTCTTCATGGAAAGCTAGGCTTTTCACATGTTTTTTTTTTATCAGTGTGCATTGCCAATGCAATGCACACTATTGTGATTCGTTTCCCATTCAAGTCATCTCCAATTTGCCATGCTTCTCCTCCTGCATACTTTGTCCTAGAGCTGCCATTGTAGTTTACCGGTATATCTGTAGGGCTCCTGTGCCAAATGATGGCTATGTCTTTTGGTACCTGTACAACTTATAGTTTTTGAAATGTTAACGTTGAATAATTTATAATGGGAGTCAATGGAGCCTTGTATTGGTCCAATACTGCCCCATGCTGTATCAACTCAGTACTGAACCAAAGTTTAATAATATTTAAAGTCAGTAGTTCAGTGTTTACTAAACTAATATGCTAGCATTTTTGATGTTTTACTATAATATTGTCCTAATAATGCTTTATTGTTATAATATATTGCAGGTTAGTGTCAAGAATTGCATTGGCAATGTGGCCTCTTTCTGCACAAACCAACTCCTGGCAATCCTCTCTGCCACAGCTCCAATGGTCTAATTGGTCAATGCCTTGGGCTTTCATGTGGGAGATCAGGATTCAAAACCCAGTGACAGCAACTTTAACAAAAAATCTCTTCAAAATTCATATTGTTACACAATTACCCTCATTAAAAAAAACACCTGCTGACTTGACAAGCACAAGCTGGTATAGAAAACACATTTGAACTTGGTCACCATTCATTCTGCAAGTGCACTTCTGCAGGCAAAGCCATGCTGCAATGACATGCTACATGGCAATGCACACTTGTTTTTACATCGTAAAAACCCATGGTCTAGTTATTATTATCATCCAGTACTTTTTCTAATTTATTATTTTTATTTTTCATTATTTAACCAGGCAAATCCCATTGAGATCCCAGATCTCTTTTTCAAGGGAGGTCTGGGCCTGAAGACAACCTATTATATGCAGAGAAAATCCACGCAAGCACAAAAGAACAGGCAAACTCCACACAGAAAGACCCCAGGTGCGAACTGGGGATTGAATCCAGGACTTCTTGCTGTGAGGCTTCGGTGCTAACCACTGAGCCGTCGTGCCACCAACACGCCGGTACATGTTTCTCAATAATTCACTGGGAGTTTCATGCAGATGTGACAGTTTTGTCATTGGTATCAGTGGAAAATTTGACACATCTGCTTAAACAGCACCGCATAAATGTTTGGTTTTCCTAAAAGGTTCTCATTGTTTTATACATGAGAATTAACATAATGAAGGAAACCCAAGTTTGGTTTTTATGTCTTCACAGCACAAAAAAAAGAATAACAATTACATGGAAGAAGCAACGCTGCGATGTGTCACCATGAACTCATCGTCTGATAATCTGACAGATGCTGCAGCTGTAGCTGTTGTGACACAAATCACATGCATTATTCTACGCAGACCCTCTCTTTTACGTATATGCCAAAGTTTATGATTGTGAAACGCATTTCCCATGACCTCAGTGACTTCCTCTGCAAACATAAAAACTAAACAAAAAAACCCCAGCTGTGGTCAGAGAGGTTGATAAAAGAGAATTCAACAGAAATGTTTGCCACCATCTAAATAAAAAATGAGAGCAGTCGAGGAACATTTGTTGCCAAAAGAAAAAAAAAGAGAAACCTTAAAAAAAATAAATAAATGAAAAACCCACAACTTCTGCATTCCACCTCATCCCACTGGTCACATTTGACCTTTTTGTTGACATAAAAAAGTAATAAAACTTTTAACACGTAATGACTGCAGGATTAGATGTTTTTGTCATAAAGTTATCTGCTAAATACTTCACTGATGTCATTTTTTTTATCTGAACCCAGGAGAATACACACACAGGCTTTACAAAAACAGATATATCCCAGCTTCTTTCCAAGAGCTGTGGCTCTACTCAACCATTCTAAATCCCAACTAAACTGAACTTCAAAAATTCCACCAAACTGCGAAAATAAAATAATTTTAAAAAGTACATATTGCTAATTTGCAAAAAATGTTTATTTGTATTGCTGTATAGCTCTTACCCACATCATCTGTAAATTCCTGTAAATTATATTTTAGTCTTTTCAAAGTCAAAATGTAATTTTATTCATCCAGGCACTGAGATTACAGACCTTTGCAAGGGAGGCCTGGAGGCAGCCTCTTGCATGTATCTTTGTGTTGTGGAGCAAACTGGAGTACCCAAAAAAAAAAAAAAAAAAAAAAAAAAAAAAAAAAAAAAAAAAAAAAAAAAAAAAAAAAAAAAAAAAAAAAAAAAAAAAAAAAAAAAATTTAAAAATCCACGCATGCATGACAGAATCAACACCACAGACAGACCCCAGGTCAGAGGTGGGGATCAAACCCAGGACCTTCTTGCTGTGAGGCATCAGTGTTAACCACTGAGCTGCTGCAGAGGTGCACCTAAAGAGTGTGAATGAACATTTATTAAAAACCATTTCAATGTTTCTGTTGGTTAAATTGTGATTTAAAATAGCATGGTTCATTTAATTACTAAAGATATGAATGCTGTCGACCTGTGTTTGTTTAGTTATGCTACTAGAGTGAAGACACAGCTGCTGATCCTTGACTTCCCAAACTGTTAGAATATAGAGTTTTACGACTGCTATTAGACAGGTGGACTTTATATGTATGGTTAGGTCTGAAGTGGATCTGGACAAAGGAACTAGTATAGAAGATTGCATGGTTGTTTAACAGGAGGACACTCAGCCCCTTTGAAGGGGACCATTTAAAAGTACAGAAAGGCTGTTCGTGTTACTGACATTGTATGTATTGTACCTTGTCTGTATAAAAGAAAGCTCAACCAGATCTGCTGCTTGTTCGTCAATCCTTGTGTCTTGATAATTAATTTATCCAACAGTTTCGTTAGATATTTTCCTAACAAACAGACAAGATTGACATTAAAAGTTAATAGGACAGTTGCATCAATAAATCCAGTTGTTTATGGGATATTTTGCTAACAATACAAAACAAACACCCTCACAGATAGAAAAAACAACACTATCACAATTTGCCTTTGGCGATAATGGACATCAAATTATATTTTTGTGAACAGTTATTCTCATTTTTACTTCTTCACACAGAGTTAATGTTTATTTTCTTGCCTTTGCTCTGTAGATGGAGCTAAAATTCCTCCATCTGCAGAAAAATGAGAAGGTGTGAAGATGAAAAGTGAACTCATTTCTGTGTCAGAAAGCGGTTTGACCAAAACCTTTAAACAACTCTTTGTGGGTGTGCTGACATGAATTTCGTCTGAAGTAATTTAAACTTAGCCACAGCGTATAACTTACATGCAAAACTAATCAAGTCCTTGCTTTATATATTTGTGCCACCTGTGACCCATGTGTCCAGACTGGGCGTTATGCCCCTACATGTCTGTGCAGACAGCAGACCTGTGAAGCATTGTTCAGATTGAAAAAAAAAAAAAGACAAAATAAATCATCTTAGAAAGAGGGTAAGAAATTCTGGGAAATTCTGTTGCCTCACTTAGGGCACGTCATTTCCTCTTTTATGACAAATGTGTGGTTTCTGTTTTTTAAAGAAGTTTTAAAGCAGCGTGATTATGACAAGTCCACACAACTTGATTGTGAGAAGCAGAGGAGAATGAATGGTCATGTAAAGAAAATGCGTTTTCAACGGTTTCTGGAAACAGCAGCAAGTAAGTCTCACTATATTTAACTCATATACATCTTAAAATAAGAGCTTAATTTTTTTAAAATTTCTATTGTGCAGTCTATATTTAGTGACTTGTGGCTGCTGTGAAACTAAATGAAATTTGCAGTTTCCTGCATGAATGAAGCAAGTTCAGTTAGTCTGATGCTTGCATTGGCTGGTTTGATTGAATTTGTAATTATGTTAATTTATAAAATACAATCAGATGACCCTTTCATCCCCTCTTCTCCTTGTTTTTGGAGCGAAGAGTGGTTTTTTTGTCAGTTTTTTTCTACACTTTTGGTTTTCAGGATGAACTTCTCTTTAATATGAGGTAGTATTACCGTAACTGACCATTTCTGTTTTATTCAGCATTACTCTATTTCCTGCTGCTGCTGGCGGTTTATTCATCAACAAGTGTGGCGGCAAGCAGAAACCAGTGTGGGAAGGATTTGAGACAGACTTTGAAGCTCACCAACCTCGTTTACCGGGAAACTGTGGCTCTGACCAAATTATACGTGAGTAGAACCCTCATGTGCTTGTCTAACCCTCCAAAAAAAAAAAAAAAAAAAAAAAAAACCCTCCAAGTTTTCAAATAAAATGTATTTTCTTTTTGTAGGTAGCGTCTCAAGGAGATGGTTTCCAGCAAGGCTTCTGCAAGGCTTCAGTGAGTGGCATCCCAGACCCTAACATCTCCGGGCTGGAGCCCTCAGAGAGGATAGCGAGCATCTACACACAACTCCAAGCCTTCCTCCTTCACCTGAAGCAAGTGCAGGAGCAGCAAGAGAACCTGCAACCCCCAACGAGCCAACTTCTGGATCAGCTCACCAAGGTTACGGCCTACAGCAAGAGGCTACTTGTTCGTATAAAAGCTTTTTATTCCGTCCTCTTCCCCAACCTGCCGCTGCCAGAGCCAGCGGGTGGACCCACAACACTACCCCCGGCTCAGAACGTCTTCCAGCAGAAGGTCTACGGCTGCGTGGTCCTGACCACCTACAAGAAGCTCCTGCTGAACATTTCTAAGGAGCGAAAGACTCTGAAAAGCAAAGTCTGCGGAACGAGGAGGCCGATGAACACAATGAACTTCTTTAGATGACCTGAGGCTGGCCTTAGGCACAACGTTCCCAGCTGCACTTTACACACACAGCTGATGAAAGACTTCAAAAGATGAATGAGTATGAAGGTGGCGGGTACATCACTATTATGGAATGTATTTATGATATTTAATATTTATTTTCTCGAGTGCTTGTAGTGGGAGAGAGGCGGTTCAGCGTGTGTTTTGTTCGGTTGATGTAAATTCAAGCTGCACTGTTGGATTATGTCTGGTTGCATTCAGAACCCAGAAAAAGGAAAACATGCAGTCTGTACGTACGTGTCACGCCCCGATGAAATAAAAAACGTTTCTGCAACTTTAACAAGTCTTTTATTTTTAACAAGCTTAAGAAATGGATCATGTGCTGTTTTCCAAATCCTTCCATCAAGAGAGAAAAATAAAAAATAAAAAAAATCAGGAAGCTGCTGAGACGCTGACTGTGTGATATCAACTCTGAGTGACGCATGTGTTCAGCGCCAAGCTGCATCAGATAGGAAAGATTTCTTGTCTGGTCGGTCACAAGGTGTGTGTGTGTGTGAGTGTGTGTGTAGGGGTCAGACAACTGTAAGAGTGAGCAATATGCGGTTTGAATTCTTGCGTCTTTGTTCCGATGCACATGAAAGTGTTACAGTGAGGTGAGCAAAACAAAAAGACACTTGGGATCCTGAGGAACTCTTCGTGAAAATAGTTATCCGGCCACAGACAAAACCATGAAGCCGTGTCAGCAATAAGCTTATGAACAGGAAAGATTTCCACTGAAATGAAGCAATTTTAGTCAAACTTTCCTCACATCACAAGCCTTCAGGAAACTAGAAGTAGATGGGGGATTTACTCTAGGTCATGAATCAAGTTCCCCGTTTAGAACTTTATCTTATTTAAAGCACAGAGGGCACCTCAGGTCAACAGCTTTTATTCTGTCTGGATTAGCTTTTATTTTTAATTGAACCTGAGGAAGTAAAGTCCACTCAAATGGGTCCAATATCCAGTGTAAAACACTGTTTAATCACCTGATATTTTTAGGTTGAAAGCACCAGAAAACATGGTTCAGTTCATTGAGGTTTGCACAGCAGCACGATGGCTCAGTGGTTGGCACTGACACCTCACAGCAAGAAGGTCCTGGGTTCGATCCCCACTTCTGACCTGGGGTCTTTCTGTGTGGAGTTTGCATGTTCTCCTCGTGCTTGTGTGGGCATCCTATTGTACACCACACCCCACCACAAAAACATGTACAATAGGTTGTTTTTAGGCTCAGGCTGCCCTTGAAAAAGAGATATCAATGAGATTGGCCTATTTTTTAAAAATAAATACAAATAAATAAAGCAGCTCTCCTCAGATCTGGACTTTTACAGAATCATTGCATCACCTTGACTCTTTTTAAAATATTTCTGTTGCAGATATGCTGTTATCTTTGGGATCATAAACCTGTTTGGTTCATGCATCAGCTGTCTGAAATGTAGTCAAAGTTAATACTGCATGAAGCCCGGGTCCTGTGGCTGCAAAACAAGCCCAGACCACCACACCTCCATGCTTGTGGTGTCATATTTGGTTTTGACCAAACATGACTTTGCATCATGACCAAATATTTCCACATTAGACTATTTTTTTCATGTCATTTAGATGCAGCTTCACTAACTAAGACATGCTGCGTTATCTTGTTTCTTTTACAAAAAAGAGACTTTTCCGTAAAATTACTTAATAGAAAAAAGAAATAGAAACATTTTCTTTTTCTGTTTTGTGGTTCATTCTGTTGTGAGCAGGATTCATTCTCAAGAGACTTAAACAAACAGGTAATACAGAAAATACGACGGATCAATGTGCAGCTTTCTGAATACCAATAATGGTAAACATCAATAAGCCACATTAATTAGTGTAAACAAGGGCAGCACGGTGGCTCAGTGGTTAGCACCGACGCCCCACAGCAAAAAGGTCCTGGGTTCGAGCCCTGGTTCTGACCTGGGGTCTTTCTGTGTGGAGTTTGCATGTTCTTTTCATACTTGTGTGGATTTTCTCTGGGTACTCCGGTTTCCTCCACAACACAAAAACATGTTCAATAGGTTGCTCTCAGGCTGCCCTTGAAAAGGAGTTCAACGGGACTTGCCCGGTTAAATAACAATAAATAAATAACTAAAATGTGTACAAAGCACATTTATGAAAAAACATCATGCATGTATAAAATCCTTATAATGCACTTTTATATTATTATAAATAAGTTTAACTGAAGCATCATTGTTGAAGTTCAAAATGATGTAATCGTTTATGAATGTTTTCACCTGTAGAGGGTAGTGTTGTTCATTAAATGAATGCAAAATGTTAAACCATGAAAATTGTTTGATTATATTAATATTATATTAAATATTTAATTACAGTATCACATCTGTTGTGCATGGTTCCCCTTTGATTAAACTATCTTAAAATTTCTAGCTCAGTGAAGAAGGATGACCACATGCTCAGTCATTGTGGTTACTGCATTCAGCATAAAGTTCAATCAAGAACTTCCCTTTTTGTGACTTTCATTTTGTTTTCCACTTCCTGAAGACATTTTTAAAAGAACTAAAATTCACTGATATTGTTTGCCAACATTTTTATTATGTGGTGTAAGAAAAATAAAAGATAAAACCTGTTGCATATTTATCTTTTTCTCTCTCTCGCTCAGCCTGTTAAGAAATTATTTCCATTAGTCATTGTTTTTCAGCAGTTTGATGATGAATATAGTGATAAACATTTACATAGTCAGTCTCCCCCGCTAATCATCATAATCCTCCTCTGATGGGGAAGCACAACACCAAGGTTCAACTAAATAAAGACAGAGCTGACAAATTTAGTCTTAAAGAATTTACAGTAATCCTACACAGCAGCAAGGTTATGTCCTTTTTATTAAGAAGTGCACATGACAAACTGAAGCTTGATTCACAGGTTTATTTGTGCAAGCATGCACACAAGTCTGATAAAACAAGCACGCACGCACGTGCACACACACACACAAACACACAAGGGCTTTATATCATAGTATAAATTAATGGTGTCCCGATATAGATACTGGTATCGGTATTAAGCACGATACCAGTATTTTTTAAAGTACTTGTACTTGTTCAAAATGCCTCAATACCCAGAACTGATACCAGTTGTTTTTTGCGTGAACGTATAAAGAAACATTTATATTTTTGAATGTGACCACCTTTAGACTCCAGTGTGAATGCAGCCTGTGTGCACAGAAGATGATGTGACATCACATTCAGTGTGCTGTTTTCAGGAGTAAACATAGATGCTACTTGGTAACAAACATAGGTTAAATAATTATTTGACATGCTTGTTTAGTTCATCGTTTACATTTGAATCTGCCCCTGGTCTGCTGCTCTGGTGCAGCATGTATTTATGGAACAAAGCGACGAGCTGGAAGTAAAACTAATTATAGTATCAGTCCAGTAATTTTAGTGTCAATACGGTTCAACAGCAATGTTACTATTGTGTTTCTGTGGACTCTCAGTCATCCAGGACATGGAAAATTAATAAATAAATAAATACAAAAAAGGCAAAGCAAACTGGACTTCAGTTCTGTAGCTGAAGACATGTGGATCTACTATATTTAAACAGCATGACTCAAGGTTAGTATCATTATTTGGATCGATCCGCTCACCTCCATCTCATCTGATATCTTATTTAGTACCAGGTTCTAAATAACAGCAAAGTGTTTTTGTAATCATTGTGTAATGTTTAAGTTCTAACTCAGTAAGTACAACTCAGTATCATTGAGTAGCCAAACAAAGTACTTGGTTTGAGAAAAAACTAGCATCGGTACACCCCTAACCTCTAACAAGGTTGAGTCAGGTCCTCTGGACGGGTTCTTTATTGAAAGATGTTGTCTTTTGTTCAAAAGAATTCTTCAGGACCTGACTCACCCTTTTTAGATTTTTTAACTGGGATTATTGAGAATGTATCAGAACAGTATAGTATAAACATCATCTGCAAGACAAACCTTTACATTTGTGATCAATAAAAAGAATAGAAATACTAAATATTCTTCAAGCATTACGTGTATGCATGTTTTTTTCTGTCAGAGCTTTGTGTAGCTTTTCACAGTGAGAGAACATTATTGCTTGCAATAAAAGTAAACTGATCCGCTACATTTACATTGCACACCTTTGCATAGTTGCTGAATGTTGGGCAAGGCCTAGAGTCAGTAACTACAGAAAAACAAGAAGCCTGTGAAGGCATAGTTGCCATTTTTAAAGCTTTCCTTAAAGTGATTGCATATTTGACTGTAACTCCTCACTTACACAGGGTCGTTGTATCCATGTTTAAAAAGCGAATGCTCATTTTTGATTCGATCTCAAAGCCATCCAGTAGCTGCAAGAACAAAACAAACCAAACAAAACTATTTAGGTTTTCTCATGTTAAGAAGCATATTAATATATTTAAACACACTTAAAAATGTTGTGCTGAGCTGAAATTTAAAGTTCTTTAAATCATCCTTATTTTCTTTGTATTTTGCTTCCAAGCAGTCAAACTTGTATTTTTCAAGATATATATATA